ACGATTATTTATTCAGAGCTTCATTCACCATTATTCCCTGAGAGCAGAAGCTTATAATCCTGAGTTTAGGTCATAAACTTCTTCCCAGAGTTAATTCCTGAGGTAATATCTGCATCTTTAACACTTTAACTCCAAGAGGTGATTAAAACATAACTTTATCCTATAATATTCATACATTATCCAGCAAGCAGCTAATGACAATACTCAAACTTATCAAGCAGAAGTTGTTATCTTGATCTAACACCAAATTCTAGAGATACTTTACAAGGAAATGCATGGCCATTAGAGGAGAGGATAAACAATCAGATCACGAGAGTTGAAGGGTTAATATGAGCTCATAAGGTTACTGTCAACAAAATCTGGTCAAAATTTTCCAAATTTTGTCACTCTTTAGTTGACAAAGTAGTTAAGTTTAATTTGCTTTAAAAAAAATTTTGTGAAGTCCTGAAAAGAGATACTGCTGAAAGATTGTTTTAGGGGAACCTGTACCAAGGAGTGAAAGGTGTCATAATTGGAAAAGCCTCCAGCAGAGTATTAACATTTGCTGCAGGCTTTCATCTGGGATCTTGATTTTCCGTATTTTGTTTACAAACTGTCTTGTGCTGCACAACAAAAGGGAATTTCAAGCACATTTCGTAGAATATTGAGGAATAAGAGTCTTCATCAAACGGCCAAAGAGAGATAGTTGCAAACAAAAGAAATTGAAATTAAGTTTTTTTCCCTTGCGTGCTTTGCCCACTTTTCCTTCTTCTTTTCCTGATGAATTTTGGAATTTGTTTAATTTGTGTTCCTTGTTTGCAATATCACCTTCCCTTGAATTTCAAAGGAGGTCTTTGTCATGAGACTTGCTAGGGAGTTCAATCTTGCATTTCATTGGTAGGCGGCATCCTCACTTTAACACTTACTTGATTGAGGAGCAAAAATTGTGAACTTGTTTGGAGGCCAAAAACTTGAGGTTTGTTTTTATGCAAGGTACCTCTACTTAAACAAATTAATAGGGTACGTAGATTTGTTGGATTTTTATGAAAATTTTCCAGAACGTTTGTCAGATATTAATGCACCAAACTGTCTGAGGCTTTAACTAAATTTGAATTATTCCTTTTGTAATGTCCAGGAGTATGGTAATATATGTCTCACTTCAAAATAGATTTTCTCAGGAACCATTAGGAATATCAAAAAAAGGCTCGCACTTTGTTAGGCTATTATCTGCTGAATGATACTGTTCATTTTGTTTTGGGGTCTGTGGTAACATGGAGGCTGGACATTCAGTAAACCAAACACTGTCAGTGTTGTGTGCAAAAGTTTGCACACACTAACCAAAACAAAAACTGTGAACAATTTTGTTATTTTCAGAATCTACATTTTATAAGCTTTACAGTGATATCTAGTTTTCTATGGTTTCTTTAAAAGTAGCTTGCGCTTGAAAATTTTTCCAGAAGGCACCATATTTTGTTTACAGTAACCTTAACAAAGCAGAAAGAATGTCTATGGTCCAAGATATAGTGTAACACAACTTAGATTATTTCAGTCCTCTGTGCAAGTTTGCACTCCTGCTATAGTCAGAGTTATCATCAAACAAAACTTAAATTATTTCAGGGTAATTTAGTCTCATCAACTGAGTTGATAACATAAATTGGCCATTGTAAATAGTTAAAAGGGTGACATTTCATGCATTAGCCCTTCATCAGAGCGATTGGAAGGGCTAACGCTTGAAACTTTAGCCTTTTAACTCTTTACGGTGGCCAATTTAGGTTTTCAACTCAGTTGTTAACACTGAATTACCTTCTAACCCTTTCACTCCCAGATGCGATTAACAAGTAACTTCTCTCTACAATATCTATGCACCATCCAGCAATATGAATCAGGTAAAAGTCATTATCTTGATCTAACATCAAATTCTCGTAACTGATTGACAAGGAAATATCTAGCAGCTAGAGGGGAGAATTAACAATCAGATCTTGGGAGTTAAAGGTTTAAAGTATCAACTCAAGTTTAGGTAACAGCGTAGTATTTTAATTAAAGGCTGTTCACTACTTAATAGACAGATCAATTTTATAGTGTATCCTTTATTTCTGGACTCAGTCAGCCAGTTATGCTGTGCAAATTTTTAATTGCCCTTTTTTTTTTTCTTTCAGATGGTTAAGCCACTTGCTGAAGCAGCCACTGATTTTCCAATTTTCTGGAGAAACTCAGATCTTTGGTTTGCAGCTTTTTGCATTATGTTTAATCCTTTCTTCTGGAATGTTGTGAGTTTGTTTTTGCTTCTCTTTGGGCAAGTGCTGTAGATACCCATAGGTATCAGTAATTGCTTGGCTTGTCTTGTAGCAGCCCTGACATAATGTTAGAATGCTCTTTATCTTTCATTGCTTTTCCTCACTTTTTAGCACTTAGTGACAGCTATGAGTATTCAATATCTTGTGACACTGAAAACTATTCAATATTTGTGTAATACTTTCAGAGTTAACAAAATCGGAAAAATTTACTGATGGATCAATACTTGAAATCACCTAAATTTGAAAGAAAATGAAATCTTATCTCAGATTTGTGAAATTTTATTATCAGGAATTGCTTGCTTTTGATTACATGTACTTTTAAGATGAATTTTGAAAGTAATCATTTATCTGTGCCAACAAGAGAGTACCCATTTTAATCCTGATACCTTCAAGTTAGATTTGAAAAGAGTGTTTTTGCTCAGATGTGACAATTTTCAACTTCTCTGTGCTTAATTCATATGCAGGTAGCACGGTGGGAATACAGAACGCATGCAATCACACATTGGTTTGGTTCAGCTGAGAGAGGCTGCTACGCACTTGCTGTTGTTATTTGTCTTTTGGGATTATTTAGAGATTACCGGTAAGCATCTCTCTAATCATGCTGTCATTAATTTCAATGTACAGACCTTGGATTACTAGCCATTTTACACTGCAAAGCTTCCTTGTTCAAATGAGTAACTTTAAAGTACTGTTATGGTTGCTTGGCTGTTTTGTATGAGTTTGTAATTTGTAGTTTTTGAGATATATTTACTGTATGGGAAAAATGATAATCATAGTTTTGATTGAAAATGGAAATCTAGGAAACTGTTTAAGGTGACTTTGAATGGTGTTTTACAGATTTGAAGAGGCCATCTCTGGCCAGCCTATTGCATTAGCCATGTGCACTGAGAATGTTCGTATTTGTGGCACTTTTCTTATCGTGGTTGGAACAGTTCTTGTCCTTAGCAGTACATGGTCACTGGGGATTGTAGGAACATTTCTAGGTTCAGTTATTAGATTTCTATAATCTGTTCTAGTGATTTAATTATATCTCTTAGTCAGTACAGTATGTGCACTATAATTGATCAATGTAGTGAACTGTACTCCAGTGTATGGCCTGCTAAATTCAAAATCTTCTCCCTCTTTTTGAATCCAGAGATATGATAAATATCTTGCTATGAATGTAAACTTGTTTCACAGTCCACACCTTAAGTTACAGAACCTCAATTTTCTGCTCTGATTTAAATGTATGGTTTGGGCTCTATCTTAAAATAAGGACCTTGAACCCCATTTGTAAGAGGTACATATTAAATATCAGTTTGCATTATAGCAAATCTCACTCTTAATGCTCAAATAGTAGCCTAAGATTTTGCATGGCCTAACTTTTACCTCAGAGGTACTGGTTAAGTTCTCCTACCAACAGTGTTTTGTACCTTCTATAGATAAGCATCATATTAAATCCATTCAACCTGAAGAATTTATTTCTGAAAAAATTTACCCCAAAAGGAATTGAGAAGAACTTTGTATCTTTTGCAATTTTTGTTAAATGTACAAATTTATTTCTTTGCAGGGGATTATTTTGGTCTTTTGTTGAACAAGAAAGTCACACATTTTCCATTCAATGTCATGAACAACCCAATGTACTGGGGATCAACTTTGAACTTCTTGGGATATTCATTAAGGTAAAAATTGTATAGACATAAATACTGATATCCTGGAAAACCAATCACAATATTGATTTCTTGATTTACTCAATTGGGTGGACTCCCTCTTCATGACTATTTTATTAATCCTGTAACTCTTAGCACCTTATCTTAATCAAGCCTCTAACTCCTATTCAGATCCTTAAGGAGTAGTGGAGAGATTTTGCTCTTACTTCTTGATATCACCCTCTGATAAGTTGGCCAAAGTTTTGCATGGTGATTACACCATTCACTGGTCACTTTTTTCTATTCCAAATGAATTCAGCACTTTCAACATTTTTTTAATTAAAGAAAGCAGTTCTGATTTTGTAGATGTGTGTAACATTAGGTTTTCTCTGATACATCTTTTTTTCACCTTTACCTTAATATTTGTTATTTTGATGTTGGGATAAATTTTACTTTGATTAGTTTTAACATGTGAAAGATTATTAAATGTTTTCTTTTTTTTTTTGATAGACAGTGCAGCCCAGCAGGTGTACTCTTAACTACGCTAGTTGCCATTTGTTACAAGATAGCTTTATTATTTGAGGGGTATGTTCGTTTGTCAGTAGACAAGCTAACAGTGAATTGGTGGTGTAACTCAACATCCACATATTATTACATATTTGCATTTAACTTGTAATTTAACTGTATGGTCTGGGAGTGAGTCATAGTTTGGTCCATTGGTAAACTTGACGTGGGTGGAAGTGCAGGGCTTCAACTTGGTTTCCAGACCAACCCCCTCTTTCTTTCCCCATCCCCCCTCCCCCTCCCCTCTCACACACACACACACACATACATTGTGATGGACTTCAAGGCCTAGTTTTTCATTGATGAGACATAAAATGATTTTTTTTTCAGGCCTTTCACTGAGAACATTTATGCAGAAAAGAAATTGAGAGAAGAAAAGGAAGAGTGAAAATGGATAAATTATGATAATTTATTTTGATCCCACTATGTTATTTTAATGTTTATTTACGAACTAGAAAGTAAAGCAGACATTTGTATGGATGTCAGCATAAATATAAAATTATTGCTATGTTTTGGTAAAGTTAAGAGGACAAAGTAATTTTGTACCCACTGAAGGTTTTAAACAAGACCCTTAAAGAGATTGTGTAGGGACTACTTTCAGGTTAGACCTATAAATGGTTTACAAGTAACACTAACCAAGAGAGTTGGTGGAAATTGAAAGAAAAATTATTAGTAAAATAATATTCCTCGCACAAATGTGTATGCTGATAGAACTTACATTTGTTGAATGTGCAACTCTTTTCATTGCAAAAATGACACTCAGTCTGGTAATCTGAAATTATGGTTCATAGTCAGAGATGATTATCTACCTCAAAGGGACTTACTGCTGTAATTTCTTTGTATGATCTTTTCTAAGTAGAAGCACAAGGCCAAGCTAAACTTTGCAAGATGATTAAATACATGATCTTATTTAGATGTTTGTATAAAATAATGTGCTGTGTGGCTAATGTCCAGAATCTGGTATTTATTATCTTTAATTTTGACCTTGTTGTGGGAAATATTTCCAGTTACATCTGTGTGGATAGTTTGGAGTTTAATTATTTTTTCATGGAATCACATTTTTGAATTTCTGAGTACATTATTTAGCATTGCTCATTAATATGTGAGTTCGTAGAATGTTGGGTATGAAAGTTGTGCTCAATATCCAGGTCCAATCTGTAGTTTTGTAAAGACTTCATTGTTTACACTGATTAAAGAAAGTTAATTTTTACTTTAGTGAATGAGGTTATCAGTTAAATTGATGCGAACCATTAAGGTTAGAAAGAATCAAAACTGTGTTGTTCCATTAAAACTTCCATGGCTTGACCCTGACTTTTATTCCCCTGAGCAGAGCACTTGAGAAGAGAAATGCATGCTTTGCATTGTGTTGTAATTTTAGTGAGTTTGAGGACGGGAGAAGAAAGATGAGGAAAACTGCAGGTGGTGTTTTTCTTGTTTCTTATGTGTTCTTAAAAAATCCAACAACACTGTATGCTTGGTGTCTAAATGTAACTGAGCTGCACACTGGAACGGCAGAAATTATCATAGAATACAACTTTTGTTTTATTAAGCTGGATTTTCTAACTCATCACTTTGTCTGAATTAACTGTATCATGTTATCATGAAGTTGTACATGAAAAAGAAACAGATCAATAAAGTCTGAATGAGAATTTTATATTGAATATGTGGGCTTAATGAAATTGTCACAAATATGGCTCTAAAATTTGGGCTTTGCACAATTTTCTTTTCCTAGTTTGTTTTGTTTTGTTTTATTTTTTTGGGGGGTTGGGGTTGGATCATTTTTTTCAACTCAAACCCCACATACAGTTGAAAGTATTATTTCAGGTTACAGCTTCAGTAAAGTCAGATAAAGTAGACTTCCTGATAGACAGGGTTAGATCCAGAATTTCAGGAAAAGAAGTCTGAAAAAGGCACCTGTGATGATGACTCCATCCATTCTCATGTCTCCTTTGCAGCCGTTTCTTTGAATGTGGCCACTGATACTTCCTTTTTGGGGAGGGGAGAGGGAGAGGAAGAATTGTTTCTTGAATACTCACTCAGTAGACCAGTGAGAACACAGCAGTAGACTCTGGGTTTTCTCTAACAGCCCTCAATCCACGTAATGATGTCTAAGATAGCGCACTTTTTAGCTTTACCTGATGGTGAAGTTATTCATATGGCATGGCCAATGAAGTCTTTAAGAAGAAAAATATACTCCCAAATGCGTATGGGGTCTAAAAGGATACAAAACTGTCATGACAGTTTATGTGAAAACGGTATCTTGCAAAGGAATAGAGGAAGCGGAAGTTAAGGCAGAAATAAACAGGAAGCGAACAACCGGAAGTGCCAAAAAGGGTAAAAGGGGGTGGGCCTTTCAAAGTCACATGTCACATCGGCGGGAATATTTTGAATCCAAAATAAGATCATCTGATTGGCTTCTCTTCTAGAGTGTGTGACGTCAACCGCTCGCGGACTGTTCGCTTACGAGCTTAAGCAAAATCAAGGGAACGCTCTCTACCCAGTATCCTTCTGCAGAATCTTTAAAAATATCCACCATCCTTGGATCAAGAAAGAACGATACCTTCGTCAGGGCCAGGGATACTACTCACTGTAAGTTTTATGGTTATATTTTGATCATGAACCCATTTGCAGCCCTCGGACGATGTCGTTTACCGTACGATACTCTGTTATTGTGTCTGTGTATGACAGTTTGTGGATGGCAACAGCCCAGAAGCTGATTTTTGTCACTTTCCATTTAATGTTCGACAAAAGGAGAACATATGCTTCCAATTTAAGACCTAGTAAGTGAAAAAAACGTTAACCAAGAGGGCACAAACACCAGTGTTTACGAGTTGGACGTGTGGGAGTGTGCGATATATTTATTACATGGATGGTAAAGAATTTCGGTTCATTTTGCGTTGTATCTAAACAGCAGTAATACTATGTCCTCTCCAACTCATTCGGGATTTTCTTATAGCCTTGGTTTTGCAATTTTGTTGCCTTTAAAACACCTTTAAATGCAAAAACAATTGCAAGGACCATGATCTTGTTGAAGCTTTGAATTCCATTTCCTGTCGTGTATGCATATTGTGGATTTGTAGTTTCGCGCCGACGTAATCAGCATAGTACGTTACTTGAACGATCACTAAAAGCTTGTGTTGCTATGCCACATTTGCTGAGGAAGTATGCTCTTCTATCTCTTGTTTTTCTGATAGTTTTGTGTTGCCTTCTGTGCTAAAATTTCGAGTTTCCCCAGTCGGAAGTTGAAATCCTGTGTGGGTGTACGACGGGGCAAGTTTTTGCTGGTGTCAACCAATTCTTTCTATTATTTTCTAGAATTTACTATCTTGTGCCTATAAATATTGTTCACATCGTAAGAATGCTTGTTATTTTCTTTGATTCATTGCAAACATCTGTTGTAACTTGCCTTTTCGTTGTGAAAATCTTCCTTACACCATCGTTTTGCTTAATTACTAGTGTATTTACACTGAACATTCGATGAAAGGAATTGGTAGTCTTCGTATCAGTTGTTCGTTCTTCTTCGTTATGAAACTCGAAAGAAAGCTTTTGCCCACGTACTCTACATGGCTCGAGAAGTGAAATCGCTGAAACGAACATACTTGTTTTGATTTAGTCTCAGTTCTTTGAACCAATGAATTGTTTTCGTCGAATCGATATGTCGTCATGATCTGTTGTAAATAAAGTTTACACTTCGCCTTGAGCGGTGTCATAACATTGGTTTTGCCGTAGACACTGTGGTTCTCACTCTGGTTGAGACACTTGTTTTTAGAGAAAGATCGTTGTCAGCGATACACCAAAGATGTTGGGTTTTGTAATTGTGTGACACGTAGCTTTTGGTCAGAAGAAATCAACATATGGGTTTCACGAGGATTGACGAGTCTCCTGTAGACCGTTTCAAGATTTTTTTCCAGTCCTTGTGGAGTTTTAAGTAAATACAGTTCTGTTGAAAATTTTCGTGTGGTTTCATTGTGTTGGTTAGGTGATGTAATTTATTCTTACCAAGTGAAGATTTAGTAGTTTTATTCTTTCTTGAACTTCCATCTACATGTATTAAAATATTCAAGACATGCTAGGTTGTATGGAACGTGTAAGTTACTTCCACATTCAACAGAGGCAATTACTGCAGCAACTTAACTTTCTCTTTTTTTTTTCCTTATTTTTCAGTCTCCTCATCTGAGTTTTTTAGAATAAGTTGGTACTTCTGATTTTTGTACAAGACAGGAGGTGCTGTAAGAATTTTTATGGCTACTGCCTCCTAAGTAGGCAAAGCCATGATGTTGTCCTGTTGAGTGAGTGAGAGTAGCAATAGAAAACAAATAACCTCTTGGTCCACAACAAAGTCTTCCAAGTTTTGCCTGATATTCCTTAGTCTTGGCTTTCGTTTGTTTCAAAAATCTTTGGTTGTTCAATGCTTTGTGACAATTTCTGTGAATTGCTTCGAATTTTACACTGAATATCAGCAGGTGATTGCTCTGTTTTTCAGTGCTACTCATTATTTGTCTCTTAGTGTACTAAAGAAGACAATAAACATCTCACAAGCATTTCAGAATGGAGCATGAAAAAAGAAAGCTTTATCTTGAAGAAATGTCTTGAAAGGAGTGATCGGCACAACATTAAAATTAGAGGAAAAAATTATCTTTAAAAGAGAGAGCATTCTACCTTTAAAATCAGGAAATTATTCCAAGTTAATCCAAAGATTTACTTTTTTCAGTTCTGTGACACTGCAATGGATGACAGACATCTCAGAATAATTTCGCAGTGGTGTCTCTGGCATGTAATTGAAAAAAAGACTTTTTTCTTGTAGAAATGAAATTAGAAAGGATTTATAATTAACAGGCAAATCAAAATGAAAACAAGGCTAGTTTAATCATTATTGGAGTCTAGGGATAGACCAACAGAGGAACAGTGAAGTTCTTGAGCTAGCTAACAGGCAAATCATGAGTTATCATTATCAATACTATTACTTTTGTTATCATTGTTGTTATTGTTATAATTAGTATAATTATTTATTACCATTTAATAATTGTTTGGGTGTCAGTTATTCACTATATTCTTGAGTCATCTTTCTCTTGTGGAACAGGGCTCTCATGAGTATTTGGGATGCAGCAGGTTTTCTGTTTTGCATGAAAGACAAATCTTCAGTAAAGCTACTATATAGCATCATCATACAACCTTTGGTTCTTTTCAATGCTATAAAAATTGTGCTATATCAGGAGCCACATGCAGTCTTAACTGCTATCTTTGAAAACATGCTTGTGTGTGCACTCGCATTACAAGTTGTAATTTTAGGTTTTGGAATTGACTTTCACAAGGCTATCTTGGAATGTGATTATCCAGTGCCAGTGCAACAGAAAAAAACTGAATTTTCTGTTTAATTTTGTGGTATGTTATTTCTTAGTTGGAAGGTCATGGACCTCAGGTGACAAATGCCATTGAAACTTCAGGCTCTTAAATGTTGCCATTTTTGTTTTTTGGATTTTATTTCCCAAGACCAATTGAAAAGAATGGTGTCAGTTTATTCCTATGTTGAAATAAGAAGGAAGGAAAAAAAATAAGAACTTGGAATGGGGGAAGTGTCTATAAGGAAATAAGGTTGTTCTATTACTTTGTGGCACCAGAAGTTAAAACAGCCAAACTGAACACAGTACCATCTCTGTGTTGTTTTAGGTATCAGGCTTGACCCTTAGAAGACTGCTTGAATGAGGCTGTGGTGCAAGACATGAAGAGGGTGCGTCCTGAAGACCACGACAGTGTGTATGGTCAAAACAGGCAGAGTTTCCGTCCCCCTCCTGTTCTTGCCCCAGCCCCAGTTGGCATGGCAACCTATTCTGAGCAGCTCCAGCAGGATGGATTAAGTGGATTAGCCCAGTTCCCTGCTGCTGCACAGATGGCAGGTGCCCCTGGATATCAGTAAGTTTTTTCAGAGAGTGACTTGAGATCTTTGAAATTTCATGTGGGCAAATATAGCAGTTTCATGGATTGCAGGGTTTTCTTTACAAAATAAAGTAGCAGACAAGAAGAAGTGAAGTAACTGGAGAATATTCTCCACATCTAACAAAAAAGAAACTCAGGCTATTAAAATCTTGCTGAAGGAACCTCCAATCTCTGTTTCCTGATGCACAACCTACTTGGAAGTGTAGTGACTGTGTTGGCTTCTTCGAAAGACCAGTTGTACATGTGTTCTTTCTCAATCTAAACCTTTCATTATCTTAACAAGATTGTGAGGATCAGCATAATGATGTAAACGTACAATTTGTAATGGTGTGTGGCTATTTTAAATGGGCCATTACCTCACACGAGCTCGCGGTATCACCTGTCAACAATATGATTTGAAAGGCTTGGTAGAAGGTAAACCTCCCTTTTGAAGGGTAAAGGAAATTTGTGAAAACTGCTTTGATTTTTCAGAGTTCAGGCACAGACTCCTCAGTCACATCCTCATGTTCAAAATCCAACATCTGGTCATCACCAGGTGAGTTAGATGTACAGCTGTACTTCTTTGTATATTGCAATTTTAGTATACGGCTACTTCTGTTATGTACTGTTGTTGTTACTGTTGGTCTTGATATACTTTAGATTTCATTTTGTGTAGGTCTGTTTTGGTTGAGATTGTTATTATAGAGTTTATGTATTGTTGACACTTTGTTTCATCTGAAATGAAAAAAAAATGTGTTTGTTTTGCTATAGAGAAATCCCATTATGATTGAAAAGAATGGGAGTTAAATTGTTTTGAACAAATTGGTTTAAAGCATTTAGTGTGAGAACAAATGAACATGTTAGCTTTTTTGAACTGGAATTTTTGTGTGTGCTACCATTGTGGATCATGTGACATTTCATTACTGCTAGCTGTTATCCACATCATCCTCTAGGAATACCATCAAAGAGAAACTGTGTTTGATTAAAGTGGTGGAAATCACATGGTATCATATCAACAAAAATGGCCCTTGAAGGGAAATACAAACATTATAGCTTGTGTCCCATTTTTTCCTTAGTAGTTGTCTTACTAGATGACTTTTTTATCATGCTAGCCAAAGTAACTTGATTCAAATTTTGCAGGACCAAATTCAACTCTGGAATGGGGGGAAAAAAAAATTGAAAGCATTCCTTACTGTTAAAAGCATGCATGACATCAATGGACATTGAGGTAGGTATAAAGAACTCATTAATGGTGTGTTATCGTTTTTCAGGGCCAAGTACAGGTGCATGCACAAGCTCAGGGTCAACAACAACAGTTTCAACGATTAAAGGTGTGGTATAAAAAACTGTTGTTTTTTAACATTATCTGAATAAAAATGCTTATTTTGAATATAAGTGGTTTAGAAAAGGAACATCACTCAGCTTGTGAAGCAAATTTTACTTGATATGCTATGAAGGTCTGCCTCATTTTCCACTTAGTGTTACTGGTGATATGTATAATTGTTGTTATTTAATTTACTGGTAACATTTTCCCTTGCTTCTGCCTTGTTTGTGGTGTGTGCACAAGGCTTTTTCTAATTTAACCATCAGCAGTTTTAGTCTTGGGCACAAAGAATTATTATTCCATGCTGAGAAAAAGTGACTGTCCCATTAATAGTTTTCTAAAATGGTAAATTCAAATAAAGGATTTAAATCCTTTGTGGATATTCACTTATAGCTGTAGCACCCCCATTGCTTCTTCAGAATTTTTTCAGGTTTCCCTCCATATTTAATCACACTAACATTTAGGTTACTGTGCCTCCTAACTGCAACTATAAAGTTAACTTATCAAATAAAACACCACACTGTGTGAGATACTGAACAACTCAGGTGTTGAAGTTTTGTTTTGATTTATTATCTATTTTAAGGTTGAGGATGCCTTGTCATACTTAGATCAAGTCAAACTTCAGTTTGGAAACCAGCCTCAAGTGTATAATGACTTCCTGGACATTATGAAAGAGTTTAAATCCCAAAGGTATCTACATGTTTGCTGTTCAAGCAATATCCATTGAAAACTTTTCATAGATAGTGATTCAGTCAGTGATGTCATCTCTTTTTTCTCCCCAGCATTGATACTCCAGGTGTTATCAGCCGTGTGTCATCTCTGTTTAAGGGACATCCAGAATTAATTGTAGGGTTCAATACATTCCTTCCACCTGGGTACAAGATTGAGGTGCATGCCAGTGATCCTGGCACTGTGTCAGTAACAGCACCCAATGGACAGTCTCAGATAACCACACTTATCCAACCAGCTCAGCAACCAGTGAGTGGAACTACTTGGTTTTTGTTTTATTTCTAAATGAGTGGTGCGTGTTTCTGGGTTTGCATTTCATTTCAAATTAGTAGAAGGGGTCATTTGAGGTGAAACATCTTGTGTAAGGGTTGTGAGTTAGGTGTTGACTTGCATGGTAATGCAGTTAAATGCAATTTAACAGATGTAGTAACAAATAGCATCAGTGTTCTTTAATAGTCAGTGGTTTCTGCAGATGGGTCAATTCCATGTGCTATTCACTTGAGGCATTCTTGTGTGTGCTTTGAGTGTGAACCCGCAGTGTTGTTTGGAGTGGCAGCACATCTTCCAGGTAGTTTTCCCCACCTCTTCCCTCCTCTTCCCACTGCTTATTTAGTGTAATGGGTGCCTGTTTCCCTTTCCTGTGTGGGGCTCATGGCTGGGTTGCCAGGATTTTCTAGCCATGGGAAAAGTCTCCAGCTTGGAGCTGGCTGTCAATAGTGGAAGCTCAAGATGTCTCAGGCACCCAACCTCCACTTGCCTTGCAATTGTTAACTTTGGGTTAAATGCATTGTTGTGACAAGGCTTGCTCTCAAGGGGTGCTAGGTGAAGAAAATCCTCAGCCCTGATTGGCTACCCATGTAAGGCACATTTTGCTGGGTCATCATACTGTACATACTTTGACCTTAGACTTGGCCAATAACACGTTTTTCCTCCAAATGGGTTAGAAAGTAAAAACTAACTTTCCAGCTGGTATTCTTCAACATTTTTGATCTATCAACATTTGTTGGCAAGCTTTTGAAAAACGTGAAGGTCTGGATACCCTTAACCTTTTTACTGTCCATGTTGTAATGGGTCACAGGACAGATAAGTGCAGTAGCTACAGTTGTCCTCTTGAATATTGTTGTATGTTTTATTACAGGTACATCAGTCAGGTGGGCAACAAGGACAACAACAGCAGCAGTCACAGCAGAAACAGCAGCAACAGCAGCAGCAGCAGCAGCAGCAGCAACATCAGCAACCACTTCAGTCACCAACTGCTCAACAAGGACAGGTATAATGCTATTGTCAAAGACGCGTTTAAATAGCTCAGTACTTTAATGTACAGCCACCTTCTTTACACAAGCCACATGTGCTCGTTCCTGAAAGTGAAAAGTTCCAGTTGTAACATTTACTTGTTAAATCTACCCTAGTTAACATGTAAAAACTTTCAAAAGCCCTCTTGTTTATGTATCTTTTTTTTTTATATAAGATCATGGTTTTGTATAAGATGTTGCTACAGGTTTTTGCTTAACATTGATCTACCTGAAAACAGTAGCTTTTGTGTCTGTATATAAGAAGAATCCAAATCCTGTTTGGTTTTTTTTTTTCCAGTGATGCATGGTCTTATGTTTTGATTTGCTGTAAATTAAGTTTGTTCTTTGGCTGATTTTATTAAGTTGGAGAAGTGATTTATCTAACGTTATTGTTAATAGATTTTACCTTCAGTGTTTTTCTTTGGGATAACTTGGTCGGCTTTAGAAGATGTTCATAAAATTTTTTTACATCAACAGAGATTAGGAAGGAAAAATAGGCATATGGGCCTATGATGCCATTTCGTTTACTTATGTGCCATATGCACATGGCGCACAGCATTTCCAATTCCTGCATCAGTGGTGTTACAGTACTTTGAAAAAATGTAGAGTTTGGGTTTCCAATGCATTTCCTGATTACCATAAATTTTTAATTAGATTTCTTTTATCTTTTTGTAACACAGGGTCAGCAACCAGTGGAATTTAACCATGCAATAAATTATGTGAACAAAATAAAGGTGAAGAGCTCTCACTTTTTTTTTGAAGATGGTGCAAGCAATTGTTTCAGTTTATTAACAAGAGATATTTTTGTTTCTTTTGCAATAGAACCGGTTTCAAGGACAGCCAGACATCTACAAGGCTTTTTTGGAAATTCTCCACACATATCAAAAGGAGCAGAAAAACATCAAAGAGGTAAGGTAGCAGTAAGATAAATTGAATTTTTTGTTTGAAAGCCTTCAGATCTGAAATCAAATTTCATGTTAACCCAGGGTTATGTTACCCTGCTTCGAACAACCTGGCCTAGACTTGAACATTTGATGCTCTCCATTGAACATGAAATGAGAGTGACATTTGATCATTTCCTTAGGTAATTTTTCTTTTTGAAAGTAGGGTGGGTATGTTTTTTGCTCATTTCTTTCCTAATTGAATTTTGTTCCCTGAATTAAATTTGCAGGCTGCCATGCAAGGAACTCCTCTGTCTGAACAAGAAGTAAGTCCATGTGTCTTTAGCTTTCTGGACAGGAGAAGTTCTTTTCATTTCATTTCAAGTGGGAGAATTTGTGATACAGTTTTTTTTGTGTGTATTTAAAGTCTTTTTATTCTTGTTTAGATCTATACAAGAGAAGCGAAACTTGCTAGTGAGGTACAGTGCACTTATATTTGTATTCTTTTAAAACTTCTATGTGTTTCTGGATTGAAATTGTGTTTATTGTTAGGTGTTATGGAAGAGTGAGGTTTAAGCTTCACCAGAGTTTCCTTTTAGGTGCTTGCATCATTTGTTCCTTGCAGAAATGTTATTTTCACATCCATAGGTGTATCATCAAGTTGCAAAGCTTTTTCAAAATCAAGAAGATTTGCTTCAAGAATTCAGCCAGTTTCTTCCGGATGCTAATGGTGCTGCAATGTCTGGGGTTAGTTACATGGCTTGTTACAATTTCTCTCTTCTTGTAAATAGCTATTTTGGTGAGAATTATTTGTGTATTGAGCCATTCACCAAAAATATTCACTCATACATCTTTCAGACTGTCATTCATAGCCTTGTATCAAAGGTTAGAGAACTGTTTGCTGCACGAACCACTTATCTTCTTTTGAATTCCTGTCATGCAGTGCAATGACATGAAGCCATGCTTAAGGCTGCTGAATTTATTCAATTAAATGCGGCAGCATGTATTAAATTTTTCTTGATTGGAGTGCAGTGTTAATTAGAGGGTGGCACTTATACAAGGGTGGCATTTATTTAAAATCCAATCTATTTCTGGCAAACAATAGTATGGCAATGGACTATCTGAATTGAAAGCAAAAGAAACATGTTTTAGTGCTTGTCTAAAAAGTATTTTTTTATATTGTTCTCAATTTCACAATTTGCATGTTAATACTACTGCAATACATAACATGAATAAAGATCTAATGTCAGATGTGCATTCTCAACTTCAGAACTGGTACATTCAAAAGGATTTGTGTCTGGCTTACTAAAAATTTCCAACTGTGTTTGAAGCATTGATCACTGTGTGCTTTCTGAGTCTACTATTAGAATATTCCCCACATCATAATGCAGCATTTATTTGAGGGTGGCATTTATTAATAATTTATTTCTGCTCTAAAATGTGGCATTAATTCAAGGGCAGCATTTAATTGATTAAATATGGTATAGGAACTTATTTCTAGGTGGGACCAATGCAAGGGAGGTTCCACAATATGTGAACATGGCACCCTGCTTAGTCACTTATTCAGTGTTGAGTGCAAATTAACAGATGTGGATGTTGTTTCACTGTTTGTTTTTCAGGGTTTATTAGCAGCAAACAGGTTGCCAGCTCACCTGACAGCTGCAAGGAATGAGTATGTACCTCCCACAAAGAAGCCGGCGGGTAAGTTACTATCCAGTGTTAAAAATTTATAGTGTGTCCTCTTGCTTAAAAGGAGTACTGCTGCAATAGATATATATTCTTACATGTATGTCAGAAAATGTTCATTTCATGAAGCTGTATGATATGGGGTAGTGGCCCAAGACACACTACAGTTGGTCAAGATAATGTTCCTTGGTTTTTTGCAGGTGGGTCAAATTCTTCAAAACGTATGATACACCAGATCAGAAGAAATTCAAACAATGTCTCCTCTTCCCCAACCCACCCTCAGGCAAAGGTAGGAGTAGTTGCATAATGTCCTTCATGATACGTCATGCCACATGATTGTTTGTTTGTTTGTGATGACTGGCTGCTTTAAAATGTGATAGCCAACAGTATTTACATTTTAAAACCATTGCCAACTTCAGAATGGTACTGGACAGTTTTTTCGGTTAATGTCAAACTATTCAGGGAAATGAACATCCAAAAAAAAAAAAATGGGGATGGTGCATGTATCATTTATTCATTTTTGCACTGATTTTGTTCTTCTAGCAGAAGAAATCGAGAAGTGCAATCAAAGATGTACCCCTGGATGAGGCACAGAAACATGGCACCTTCTCAGAATTTGCATTTTTTGAAAAGGTAATGAAATTAAATATTTACTTTCTTTCTACAGTATTATTTTGCTGCTCTGGTAAGAGAGACTCTTTACTTGTATCTTTATGTTCTTCTAACATAACCTTGGAAAATATAATTTATCTTTATTGATGTCTAGGTGAGGAAAGCACTCAAAAATCCTGAGCTCTATGACAACTTCTTGCGTTGTCTTGTATTGTTCAATCAAGAAGTTATCTCTCGATCCGAACTGGTTCAACTGGCATCCAACTTCCTAGGGTAAGTCCCAATAAACTAACTGTTCCTTTAATTAGATATATACTTTCAGCTGTCTGTCAGCAGTCTCCTGTGTTTGTACATCATTGATCAGCAGCTGTAGCTGATCATATTCAGAGAAACACATCATACTGTTTTAGTAGTATTTTGCTAGGAAATATTTAAATTACCCATTTCCATTTATTACTGTGTGGTGTTTTAATTGGTAATCTAATTCCCTTGCAGAAAATACCCAGAGCTGTTTCAATGGTTCAAGGAATTCCTAGGCTACAAAGACTCTTCTCCCATGGAGACTGTGGCTAATGTCAAAGAACGAACTTCAGGAGAACTGCATCATCTTGAGATAGATTATTCCTCTTGCAAGAGATACGGCACAAGTTATAGAGCACTTCCTAAGAGCTATACACAGCCAAAATGTAGTGGACGTACTGCTCTGTGTAGAGAAGTCCTTAATGACACCTGGGTGTCTTTTCCTTCATGGTCAGAAGACACTCCCTTTCCAGGAACAAGAAAAACCCAATATGAAGAGTACATTTTTAGGTAATATTAATGATCAAAAGTCAGAACTTATCTTTTTAAACCTGGTTACAGTATGTAGTTCTTAAGTTGTAAATTATTCACAATGTGAGCCACTTCTTGACTTTAATGTTCTGGATATGTTTTAATCTCCATTTTTCTTCTTATTATGTGTAGGTGTGAGGATGAACGATTTGAGGTTGGTTTGCAAACTTTTTATTTATTCCAAGTTGCTTTTGTTTTGTTCCTTAAATACATGCATATATTTTTGCATTTTTAGTATTGTAGTCAAGCAAACCATTTTCAATGTAATTTTAATGTGGGAAATCTCTTTCAGCTGGATGTTGTGTTAGAATCCAATCTTTCCACCATTCGTGTTTTAGAAGCCATACAGAAAAAACTACAGAGGTATGTAGTACTGACTTGTGCATGTAGAGAATTCTTTATCTTGCTAAATGTAGGATGTACAGGGGTAGTTAAGCAAAGTGCTTTTCAGTTAGATGATGCTACATGCTTTGTTCAGTACATTTTATGTGCATTTATGTAGTTACACACATGTAGCTTGACTTTGCTTACATGCTGCACCTAACTTGTAAGTCTGCAACTGCTTGTTCAGAATGCTTGATGTTGTCTTTGTTTTGTTAAAGTTTGGTTGCCATCCTTTGTTTTAGAATGTCTGCTGAAGAGCAGGCAAAATTTCGACTTGATAGCTGCATTGGAGGAACATCTGAGTTCATTCACAAAAAGGCCATCCAGAGGTACAATCATCCTTCTTGTCATAACCATTATAACTTGATGAAGTTCTATTAAATATAGAAGGCAAATACAACAAAAAACCTACTCAAGGTCTTGAATTCTCAGTGGGTTGTTATTTCATTCATACTAATGTTTGTGAGTGCATCCTATTCAAAGGATGGGAATGATATCAATCCAAATGTATTGCAGCACAATCAGCATTACATTAAGAAACAGTAGGAGTATTGAGAAAAAATTTTTATTTGACATTTAGTGAAACTATCCTTTTCCTTTAATTAGTAATATATATATAATTGTTGATCTTTTAACAAGGATATATGGTGACAAGGCTCCTGATATTATTGATGGTTTAAAGAAAACACCTGCAGTGGCTGTGCCACTGGTACTTAAGAGGTGAGGAAATTTATTTTCCCATTTCAAGACCAGTTATGCTACATTTACCTTCTATGCATACGCTTGTCTGAGCATATATATACAATCAGTGAAACATCTTATCACTCCTAAAATAACCTGATTGAAAACCTACTACCCTCAGTCAATGTTATTGTGGAAAAGAATTAGACGTACTCTCAAACCTTTGCAGCACAAAATGTTTTTTTCTCTGGCAAAGAGTTGAATCATCAGCTGGCTGCCACAATTACCCCCAATTTGTTTCATTTCTAATTCTAATTCTGAATGTGCTTATGTCACAAAGTGTAGAATTTTGTCGTTCAACAAATGTAATGTTTTGAAATAAATTTTTCTGATTTAGGTTAAAAGCCAAAGAAGAGGAGTGGAGAGAATCTCAGAGGCAGTTTAATAAGATATGGCGAGATCAGAATGAAAAGTATTACCTAAAGGTAAATGATAGTGTTACTTTCACTTTATTTTTTATTGCCCTTTCAATCTTTTCCTGCATCTTGAATTTGTGGAACTAGTATATAAACTATTTTCACACAGTATTAACTCGTAGGTAAAATAACTTTTCCTTTGCAGTCCCTGGACCATCAAGGGATCACTTTCAAACAAAATGACTTGAAGGCCATGAGATCGAAAAGCTTGATAAATGAGATTGAGACAATTTATGATGAGGTAGGTTGGTTAAAAATTCTGTTTGCACTGCTCTTTTGTCGTTGTAAACTACAATACACAATAAATATTTCTATATATATTAAAGCTAAGCTACTCTATCTTAGTGATGTTAAACAGATAAGATTAAAAACAAAGGAACAAATAAGAGTACAGTAAAACGAAACATTTAGTTAGTGATGAGTAAAATATTATTTTGAAATTTAGAGTAAAAATAGTAGACTGAAAAATTGCGCGCAGTAGTCAAATTTTCCATAAATTATGCGGTTGTTTATCATAACATCATAGAAGCTAGAAGGAACTGAGATGTAAGAATAATTTCATATGGTAAGCGTTTAAGTGATACGTTTGCAATTTGTTGGCTGCTTTTTCTTTTGTTTCGTTTTTTCCCGCTGTAATTTATAACTGACCAGATGCACGTCAACGTAATGTAACTGTGTAGCATTTCATTTTCTTGTTTTGGTACAAAAACTTCTTGAAGGATATACATCATTAGTTTTTGTAGCTTGAAATTTTGCTCATCGTTTTAAGTGGGCATTCATAGACTTTGTAAATCTTCAACATTCTTTGCCATCTTTTCTTTTTTCGGACATTCATGTTTTTGTGTTTGCTTATACCAAGAATCTATCTCGTAAAGTTCTTTATGTCATGTGTACGCCTACTATGCCACAGAGGGAACCAAAAATATGATGATGTAGATAAACGCCATCTCAGAGGTGCTCAAATCAAGTTTGTTTTGCGTTTCAGAGACAAGAGCAAGCAGCTGAAGGTAATGGAGATGCTGGGGGTCCTCACTTGGTTTACACCTACCAGGACAAGTCGATTCTCGATGACGCGGCCGGTCTGATTGTTCATCACATGAAGAGACAGACGAGTATTCACAAGGAAGACAAAGCAAGGATAAAGTTTCTCTTACACTGTTTCCTACCGGATTTGTTCTTCGCACCAAGGTAAGGAGAGGAAGTCTATTTGAGTATCAGGTGATCTGGGAGAAGAGAGGGACGTACATGTACCGTGTGAGGAAGCGGACATGAAATATGGGGGAGCCTGTTAGACAGTTCCCTCTCTCCCTCTATTGCCTGAATGTGTACGTCTCACTTTCATAGGCCCTTCCTAATCACTTGCAGTCGATTTAAACCAGCTGCTAGCACGCACTACATTGCTGTGGAGTAATTTATGGTGCAAAGATACAAGTACAGTTGAGAGGATACTTTTGAAAGCAGAAGTGTTCACTGAGCCAACTTCTTGTTTACTTCTTAGTTAAGGAGACTTTTTTTTTTCTTGTTTTAAAATTTTTATTTCAGGCACCGATTTTGTTAAAGGGTCCTTCGTAAGAGTTATCAGAAAGTCTTTAGTTCAAATGAAGAAGTACTTTTGGAATGTATGTAATCACTTTTCTAACTTAACAGAAGAGAATGTTTTATCTTAGGACTGTTTTGTTTTAGGGGTGAGCTGAGTGATGATGAAGATTCGGTAAAGGAACTTAACGGCCTTGGTAAGTAACTGTAAGCTTAAAGAGTACACGCTCAACTCTCTGCGTGTAACTAAGTTAATCGTTCTTTGCCTTTATGTGCTTGTAAGAGGAAAGAGCACTCTGTGTTACAAGATCAAAAAGCGGTTGCAATGGAGGCAACGAAATGAAAAGCAGAGGGACCATCATTGACGCGTGCAGTTTGCCTTTACATGTGTAGCGCGTCGGTAGATCCTGCGGTACAAGGGAGTGTCACCAATTATGATTCCTACATCTACTGTTTTGTGTTTTTTGAGTTTCATTTATTTCTTTTTTCTTTGTTCCAGGCAAACCGGAACTTACTAACGGTTTACCAGAGGCAGAAGCAGTAAGTAACTTTGGGTTTTTTTGAAAGGTTTTTTTAGAGTTTTGTTTACAAGTAGTTAGATGATATTTGTTGGAAACTGTAAAAGTTTCGTTGCCTTCCTTAAAGAGTCATGTAACATTGACAAACTGTAAAATCAATGATATCTAAAACTTGAGTTGTACAGTAGTTCGCCATCCCCAGGGTCCGGCTCGAGTGGAAGACGCGTTTGCCTTTGAGTTAAGGCTGGGCCTTAATTATGACTATTTATATGTTAATAATTCCATAAACTTTTCTTTCAGGATGATGCCTATAATTTAATATATGTAAACAACAACTGGTACTTACTCTTCAGACTTCATCAGGTAAAGAAACACAACTTAATCAAGTTATAAAGTTTTTTTTTGAAATTTTCATTTTTATTATTGTTTTTGTGTGTTTTTTTATGGAACGCTCAGTGCAATTGAAAATTCTCATGATACTCTCTTGTTGGAGAGCGTCCTATTGTGACACAAAGTATTACTCTAGGACGTTTGAGCGAGGTTTTTAACTGCCATACATATCTTAACCCTTTAAGCCCCGATATCAACATGTATATTCTCGTCACTGTTCTCCGTATGTTTCTTATTTTACTAATTGAGAGAATTTGTTCAAACATCAAGACATTTCAACTTTGGTGATCATTTCATTCATTCTCGTGATCTGTACATTTGATCAGGCAGTAATATTGTTAGGAGAAATTAGATGCTGGTCACTATTGTGGCTTAAACGTTTAAACGTAATCTTATTGTTCATTTGTAGATGCTCTGTGAGCGACTGCTGAAGATGTATCAACAGTCTGTCATGATAGCTGAAGGTGAAGCTTGTGACAAGCAGCAGAGAAAACAGGCCACAGCCATTGCTCTGAGACTTAAGGCACCCAGTGAGATAGACCTTGAGGAATATTATCCAGCGTTTCTAGACATGATAAGAAACCTGCTGGACGGTAAGATCAAGCTTTTCCAGCTCCTTATCTTTTGTTGTTTACAAATTAGTTAAATACCTTGGATTATTATGTTTCACTTCTAGAAACGTGATGTTATCGAATGTTGACGATGCAATTGATTTTCATTCATTGTAGGAAACATGGATTCTACAAACTTTGAGGATACGTGTCGCGAGATGTTTGGTGTTCACGCTTACATCGCATTTACTATGGACAAATTAGTACAGAACATAGTTAGACAGGTGAGTGATGACTTGGCAGTAAAGGAAATGCTCACGTGAATATCATAGTTGTTACTCCAGCTTGTTTAAAGGCATCCCTACCCACTCAAGTAGTCACAAGAAACCTTTATGAGGATTACAACCAACTTCCTCCCTGAAAAACGTTACGCGTTTATAAACCTCCCCACCCCCCTTTTTTTTTCAGCTACACACCATTGTTACAGACGATTCATGCAACCAGGTCACTGAACTATACCAGCAGGAGCAAGGTAACCTGGCCACCGGTGGAAGCTCGGCCACTCAGCATACCCGCGCAGTGTCAGAAGCTGCATATCAAAAAAGATCTGAGTCACTGCTTTCGGATGAGAACTGTTACAAAGTTGTCATTGTAAGTGTAACACTGTTGTTTTTCGGATCGGCCTCCTTTTCATGGTTGTTTTACTGTTACTGTTTGTGTTATCATTATTTTTTTATTTTAATTTTTTATCATTATTTTTTTATTTTAATGTTAACAGCACAAAGACAAGAACATCTGCAGACTGAGTATTGAGTTGCTTGATACAGAGGACTCTCATTCAGAAGATCCAGTCGAAGTAGAGGTATGTCCAATAACAAGAATTGTACTGCATTTTGAGCAGGTGAAGGTGATTTTATTTATCCAACATAAAACCCGACAGTTGGTCCTAAGGGCTGTCATTGAAAGAAATGTGTAGCAAGGCATGCGGAAAGGTTAGTGTTGTATGTAAAAATCTGAGATCATCCCCCGAAAAGGTTTTGAGATCAGACCCCTATAAAAATTCGTGAAGAGTTAGCCTTGCAGGAAAGAAGGTCTCGACATCAGTTAAGTTGACAAGTTGGCCAGCGATCGATATGTTGAAGATACACGAAGATACAGCTCTATTGGGGGGTTTTTGGAGAATTTCTTTTCAAAGGTGACAGGTCCTTGTGCGTTAATTTAGCCTAGCTAACTTGAATTTGTCTTTTTCTGTCCATTAGAAATGGAATGAATACGTCGAAAAGTTTGTCGGCAGCGAGGAAGTTTCTACAGAGGTCAAGGATCATTTACAGAACAAACCCATATTTTTACCAAGGTTAGAATGCTTTAAGTCTTGTTTAAGAAGTCTCTATTAGGTCTCTCTCAGGTAGACACAAGAAACTCCAAGTGTTTCCAGAGTCTGATTTCTGGCAAGCCGTTGTAGAGGGCGGTATCTCCTTGTTTATGCCGCTAATACGCTTTAAAGCCTGAAACATCGATCGTCACCTAATGGACAGCTTGAGCAATTTCACCAAGTATTCGCTAAAGTTATGGTGTGAGAGATCGTGGAAGGACCCTTTTCGTGCGTAATACCTGTACGGTGACAGTAATAATACACAATAATCGAGCAAGATTGAATGGGTGGTTCAAAAGGGTGCGGGTTTTTTTTCCTCTCCAGAACGGTTCGTTCCAACTCGCGGATGAAACCGTCGACCACCCCAAGCACCGAGAAAGAATCGACGACAAATGATAATGGATCGTCAACTGATGATGCTGAAAGTGAGGGAAACAACAGGTTAGTATGAGAAAATTTATCGGCTAAACAAACAACAAAGATTCAATTACCATTTAATTGAAGTGGCAGATAAAAGAAGTAAGTCCAGCATTCGTGGAAATTTGTCTTTGCCTTCTGTCTGTGTTTGGGACCCTGGGAACTTTCGGAACTCTAATCCATCGGCGAATTCGTAAGCCTGGAGGGCTGGGTCTTGGGTAGACGAGCACCAACCATCCCTAAGCCACTAAGGTTTTTAATTTTTTTTTTTTTAATTTTTTATTTTTTTCCTTTTTAATTTTTGAACGTGAAATGATCGGGAAAGACTTAGACCTTATAGACAGATGTTAGCTCCATGCTTCTGGTTTTATAGTTACAACTTTTTTCTGACAATATTTGTTTTCTATAGCGATAAAGAGGAAGAAAATGATGAAGGAGAGGAAATGGAAGTCGAGAACTCTATGGAATGCAAACTTAGCTTGAACTCATACAAGATTCGATTTGTCAAAGGCAGCGAGGATTACCTGTACAGGCGACAGTCTCTAAAGCGAGCAAAAGAGGTAAGTGAAGGCACGGTGCACTCTTATTACAGTTTTGCGAGCGACCGCCTTGAATGTCAAACAGTAATGTTGCAACCTTGAAGAGGAAATGGAGGTAGAAGAGTAATGAATGTCAACCAGTCGGAATCTTTGTTTCTGATGTAAGTCCTGTAGAGTTTTTAAATCCATAGAAAATCCAGACTTCTAAGAATGTGCAAGCGTCTTGTGATAAAAGAAAAAAAAATGGTGGGGCCGACTTGTTGTTTGAAGTCATTGGCTTCTAATGTTGTTCTCATTCTTATTCACAACCTGCCAGAAACGTAAAAATCGATCAACGAAACACAAAAATCAAAGAGAATTGAAATAGGGACTATCAGTATGACTGAAGTGGTTGCCAGGACTCGAATTCATAGTTGTCGCCTCTAGCAGTTTTGATTATTTGTTCAACTCAAATATTCAATCGTTTTTACCTCGGTTTTTCCTTACTTGTTTTCCCCCAATAAAACGCACACTTCAATTTAAGCTTGAAAGAGAAAGAAAGAATATGATTGAAGCTTAAGAATGTACTTGATTTTGCTTGTTTGTTTTCCAGAGTCATTCTTTGGTGGCAAACCGTCTTCACTCCAGATTTCAGTCGTGGTTAAGCGAGTGGGTTAAGAATCACGTGTCCAGCGACCAGGAAAGCGGGTGTCATGACTGGCTGCTGGGACGAGTGGATGGGCTTCATCCCTGCACAACAACTTGCGAGACTATCACGGATACAGCCATCAAACACAATAAATACTCCGTGAAATGGGACAAGGACAAGAACGTGCAAGAAAAGAACGACGAAGACAAAGACAGCGAGCATAATGCCGCGTCATAAGCCTGTCCAGTTCTGTACAGTTGATTATAGTTAAACGGATTTTATAGGTAAACTAGTGTATTGTAGTAAAGGAATGGCGTTGAAAAAGAGAAAGACGTGGCATAGGGTTGCGTGGCTCGTGTTACGTAAAGCGAAGGACTTATTGCAATTAGTGGGTCACATCTGGCTTGCTTTGGCCTTAGAGAATCACCCCGGTTGGACTGTAAATGCGATTTTTGTTCGTAGAGATGCTTTCCTTATCTAACTTGTTGCAATTCTCTCTTCTGATTGAGACGTCTATTGTCTTCCTTTTCTTATCAACAGTTATTTTGTACATACGACATTCACTTAGACAGGTCGTTGAGGCAATAATCGCAGGGAATGAAAATCACTCAGATTTGCCGCAGACGATGCTGTTCACTTTTCTTATATTATTATAACCACACCCTTATCTTGTATTAGCTTCAAGAATCACTTAACTGTAAAATCTGGCTCATGTCTTTCCTGCCATATGAAGGCTTCAATTGGTGTGTAGAATTAAATGACAAATTAAAAATTCTTAGGGAAGGTTCGTCCCGATACTTTTAATCGCTTCTAACGTCGTAGAAACTTGCCTTTAAACGAATGAAATGTAAAATGATTGTTCATTGTAGATGACAAAAATCAGAGGAGTAAAAAATGTTGAAAAGGAAAGAGGATGGTTAGGAATAGCGAACCACAGATGGCTTATTTAAAGTTAACTTTTCACAATGTTCAAACCGTGACTTGCCTTCCTAAATAATTTTTCTTCTTGTTACTTAAAAACCTCTTCCCCAACCCCTAACTTAAAGACGTGAAAAGAGATCTGCTTTAAAGAGCCTGGATTTTTAAAGTACTTGTTCTCTGTCGGTTCTGTTTTTTTTTTTTTCTCTTCAATGTTGTGTGAACCTGCTACAGCAGTCACGATTTGATGTTAGCTCAGTTGGCTAGCAGTACCTTCTCCTCTCAGCTTTTGAAACTTGATGCCTTAGGGAAATAATTTCATGATTTCTTTTGCGTCGTCCTACAGAAGTGACCTAACGCTGCATTTAAGTCTCGATCAGATTAAAAAAGTAGCCCGTCCAGGGATCAGGCGAGTAGATCACGATTAAATAGTAGTTACGTAGAGCCATTTGTGGTGGGTGTTGTAGGCTTGTTGTCACTGCAGGACCAACATAACTGCAAAACAGATATAACTGGACGAGTAAGATTTTGTTTTGTGTTTGAATTGAGTGAAGAGAGAAGAATGGAGAACTTCGACTGCGTCACGCTTTATCAGTAATTCTTCTATCGTATCAGATAATGATTTTATCAGATAATGATATACCGTTAAAACCAGGCGACATCGAAGTTGTCTGTTGAAGCGCAACCAATACATCCTTGCACCTGCATTTATCGTCTTTTACCTAACCCCCTAACCCCTTTAATTCAGAACTGATGAACATGAAACTTCCCCTTACAATTTCGATCCGTTGTCCTTCTAACAGGAATTGAGAATAGT